ATAGATAGATAGATAGATAGATAGATAGATAGATAGATAGATAGATAGATAAAGCCTTAAAACAGGAGTTCAGTGATTAAGAGCACTTATTGCTCTTGCAGAGGAGCTGGGTTCAATTCCCAACACCCACATGACAGCTCACAACTATCCATGACTCCAGGTCCAGGGGATCTGATGACCTCCTCTAGCATGCAGTACATGCAAAACACTCATATACGTAAAATAAAATATATTTTAAAGTTTAAAAAAAAAAACTGTGTGCCTGTAGATTCCTTTCTACAATATGAAACACAAATACGCTCTTACGATATAGAATATAAAGGGTTAGAAGATAGCTCAGAGTGTGAGAGTGCTTGATACTCTTCAGGGCACCTAAGGTTTGATTCCCAGCATCCACGTCAGGTGGCTCACAACCACATGGGAGTTCAGTTCAGGGGGTACTATGTCCTTTTCTTGCCTCCTCAGGCATTACACACACATAACATACATTCACACAGACACATTGATAAGATAACAATAGACTAGAATATTAAATACCCTATCTGCCTTCCTACAGGGAAGATGTGTGGTTAGACTTGTAACCCAGTGAGTTCCATCAAGTCCCTACAGAGAGGGGAGGGTTATGCCCATGTGCAAATGTGGATCATGGCTCAGCAACGAGAGAGACATTCCACGGCCATTTAATGACAGAGCTAGGATTTGAACCATTGTCTCTCCTCTTCAGGGTTTACTTTGTGATGAATCATAAAACAAATGTGCACACACACACACACCCCATACAAGTTCTACATGCACAGGGCTGAAAACCTTAGCATATCCTGTTTAAAGACACTGTATGCTACTGACCCAAGCCAAGTATCTGCTTTTCTGTTTTGCTGGGCTCAGGTTGCTTAGCGACCACACACTCCAAAGCAATTCACAAGATTGACATCCCTTCCTTTGACTGGCCCATTGCTCCATTCCCACGGCTGAAATATCCCCTGGAGGAGTTCGTGACAGACAACCAGCAAGAGGAGGCCCGCTGCCTGGAAGAGGTAACCTGGGTCCCCACAGCCTCCTTCCAGTATCTCTGTTTCTCTCAGTATCCTGAGTCTGAGCCCAGAAGAGGACAAATGCAGGAGATGGGTGCTGCTCCCCAAGGAGGAGGGAGGACATGGAGACCTGTAAGAGAAGAGACAAGAAGCATTGATTTTTTTAATGTTTGTTTGGCTTTTTAGATTTATTTATTTATATATATGAGTATAAGTATTTATTTATGTTTATGAGTACACTGTAGCTATCTTCAGACACACCAGAAGAGGGCATCAGATCCCACTACAGATGATTGTGAGCCACCATGTGGTTGCTGGGAATTGAACTCAGGACCTCTGGAAGAGCAGTCAGTGCTCTTAACCACTGAGCCATCTCTCCAGCCCCTGAGAGACATTGTTTTACCATCTAGTATGTGTCCCCCATGTCTGGTACCAATTTCTCATAATTTCTTTGAGGACAAATTTAAGTGACTTCAAAATAAGGGATAACAGATTTATTTTAAATACTATGGATGTCTGATAGGAAGAAGGCTCCATGGTCTAGTTCTGTGGATGGAATTCTTTCCCTGAGTTCTAGAGCTTCTTTATGTTTTCTGGGTTGTCATTCTAGAAGGAATGAATACTTGCAAACCTTTGCCCCCACGTCTCCATTTCTCCAGAAATAGCCCCCTTTAATCTGTCTCATCCAGGAACTGGAACAGTATAGGAAGAGCTTGATAGCTGGACCAACAGTGACTGTGTCTTCTATATTGGATTAGTATTAGACAGAGGCTCAAATAACTCTGCTGCCTTTCCTCTTAAGCATTCACCGTTTCGGTCAACAGTGAATTCCCAAGTTAAATACCTACTAGGTACTAAGCCGCACGCTGGGTGATAGGCACATGAAAGAGATGAGACCGCGGGTCAGGGTCATATCCGTAACTATAGATTTCTTAGGTACTGCAGCTTTAAAAGTAACAGCACTAGGGTGGAGAGAGGTTAGGAGAGTGCTTTCCCAGCATTCACCAAGTCCTGTGCACCACAGAAAATCAGGTGTGGTGGTGCATTCCCATAATCCTAGCACTTAGGAGGATTGGAAATCAGCTCGTTCCCAGCTACATAGTGAACTCAAGGCCATCCTGGAATATATGAGACCCTGTCTTAATAAGTAAATTTATTTTAACAGCATCTTTTATTTGTTTCTTGAGATACAGAGTCTCAGATTCTAGCCTAAGCTGTCCTAAAAATTACTATTTCCAACAGGCTGGCTTCAGACATACAGAAATTCTCCTGCCTCAACCTCTCTAGTTCTGGGGCTCCAGGAGTGAGCATATAGCATTTTATCAAACCTAATATATCCAAAATATGATCTCAACATGAAATTAATATTTTCTAAAGTGATAGTGAGTTTGTTCTTCATACTAAACCCTTGGAATACTGTGTTAGTTCTACATAAATACTTTAGTGTGGGATCTAGCTTTTTTTGAATGCTTATTAAGCAATTAATAATCTACAATGGTATTATTTGTTAATAATCTATATGATAATACCCAAGTCAGAACAAGACTTCAAGAAACACAACCACTTGGGGACTATTGAGTACCTTTTTATATACCATCATAGTTTGTTGATTCAAGTGTTTAGTTCAATGTTTTATGACTCAGTACACCATCCCCCAGCCAGGGATATCTTATCACTATGGACCATCTTCTCCAATCAGCCTTAGTCTTCTGCCCACGTGGTCCCCAAGCCCACAACACAGCCGAGATGGAGCTGCTTTCCCTGCAGAAAGGTTTTGCACCAGCTTCTCAAATGAGCTTCTATCTCAGTCTGCCCAAGAGCCCCACACACAAGCAAGAAGAACATGGTAAGGGCAATAGCAGTGACGTGCTTAGAGAGGTGGCTCTGCCTGCATTTCCAGTGCTTATTCTAATATGTCCACGTAGAGAACCTGGAATGATGGCACACACTCGTAGTCCCAGAATTTGGAGGCAGAGGCAGGAAACTCAAGCGTGCATATTCACAATTGGTTTTGTAGCACATGTCTTTAATCTCAGCACTGGGGAGGCAGAGGCAGGTAGATTCGAAGCCAGCTTGGTCTACATAGTGAGTTCCAGAACAGCCAGGGCTATTTAAAAAAGATTTCACTATATAGCTTTGTCTGATCAAGAACTTACTCTGTAGTCCAAGCAGTCCTTGAACTCACAGAGTTTCACCTGCCTCTACCTCCTGAGTGCTGGGATTAGAAGGATACACCACCAGGTGAGGCACTACATAATAAATTTGAAGCCAATCTGAGCTATATGTGCATCTACTTGCAGATCAAGAAAGGGAGGCTTCAGGAAGCTAAATTACTCGTCCCATATGTGTTAGTCCCAATAACAGAGGAGCACATTCCTGTACATAGTGTGGCTCCTAACTTCATGGGAAATGCCACAGACACACTTTCAATATGATCTCAAGGGGTTCACAGACAACCCCGCCTCCCATCCCAGTGCCCGTCCATGGAATCTACTCCTGTTCCAAAGGCTCTGCGAGCAGCTCATTCCCCTCCTGGGTTCTAGGTGGAGGATCTAATTGTGAAATACCGGAAAAAGAAGAGAACAGTGGCTGGAATCATCGTGGAGCCCATCCAGTCTGAAGGTGGAGACAACCATGCGTCGGATGACTTCTTCCGGAAGCTGAGAGACATAGCCAGGAAGGTGAGAGTATGTGGAATGAGGCTGGCCAGGACCACAAGGATTCTGGGTTCCCCAGGGCAAAAAGTTGGCTCCACTTTTTACATATGTACAGAAACTGACTGGCTTTATTGAGAGCAGAGGAGTTGGTATTGGTACTCGGAGTGTGGTAAAATGGTAGGGGTTTACCTAGCTTGTGCAGGGCCCTGAGTTCTATTTCAGGTCGGAGGCAGGCTTGAACTGGGAGGTATGAGTGATTTGTATTTAAAATAATTTTACTGAATCAGCCTCTGGGGCTGGAGTTGTAGTTCCGTGATAAAGCATTGGTAGAGCATGCACAAAATTCTGGCTTCAGTTCTCAGCACTGAAGGAAAAGTTTTGTGGCACATGATGGCTCACATCTATAATCCTGGCATTCAGAGGCTGAGGCAAGAAGATTACCACAGGTTCAAGGCTAGCCTGGGTATGTAGAGAATTTAAGACCAGACTGGGTTATAGAGTGAGAAACAACTAACAAACAAACAAACAAAACCAACCTCCAAACTACTGGAGTTTTATATGTTTGTTTCATTTTTAATTTGTTTACTTATTTTATTTCATGTGTATGGGCGTTTTGCCTGCAAGTATGTCTGTGCAGCATATACATGCAGTGCCTTCAGTATCCAGAAGAGGGCATACACAGATAGTTGTGAGCTGCCATATGGGTTCTGGGAATTGAGCCGAGGTCCTATGGAAGAACAACTGGTGCCCTTAACCTCTGAGCCATCTCTCTAGCCCCAAACTTTAGGGTTTCTATTGCTGCATTGAAACACCATAACTAAAAAGCAAGTTGGGAAGAGAAGGGTTTATTTGGCTTATACTTCCATATTGCTGTTCATCATCAAAGAAGCCAGGACAGGAACTCACACAAGGCAGGAACCTGGAGACAGGAGCTGAAGTAGAGGCCACAGAGGGCTGCTGCTTCCCAGATCGCTCCTCATGGCTTGCTCAGCCTCCTTTCTTACAGAGCCCAGGACCACCAGCCCAGGGGCGGCCCTCTCCCATCAATTACAAATTAAGAGAATGACCAAGAATCAGATTGTATGGAAGTGTTTCCTCAGTTAACTTTCCCTCCTTCCAGATAGTTCTAGTTTGTGTGTCAAGTTGACATACGACCAGCCAGTACATCAGGACATGTTCAGTTAGGAGATCCTGAGATGGCCTTGGCCTCTCTTCTCTTTCTGGAACTTGCCTTGTCTTTCAGTCCACTATGGTCTATAGTCAGTTAGCAGGTGTAAAGTGAGCAGTGTCAACATGAACGCATTAGTCTAGAGGACTGGACATTGTATGTGCTAGCTTCTTATCATTCCAACCAAATACGAGACTTAAACATGGTGAGCCCCCAGAGGAAAGATTGACTTTATTTCAGAGGGTTCAGTGCATAGTCATTTGGTCCCCACGTGCCTGAGTGGCACCATGGCACCATGGCAGCAGAAATATGTGACAGGAGAACCATCACATCATAGCTGACAGGAAACAGAGAATGAGACAGGAATCGACCAAGAGATGTTCTAACCCTCCAGAGACCCGCCTCCCAGTGACCTACTTCCTCCCGCCAAATCCTCCCTTTGAGAGTTTCCCAGCAGCACTCTGGCAGGAGACTAAATGCTCAGCACGGGAGCCTATGGGGAAGTTTATATCCATGTGGTAACAGGTGTATGTACAACGGACACATGAAACCAGTCAGTGTATAACTAAGAAAAGCGGGACATGAGCCAGTTTACATACACATATAGAACTAGTGAATCTAGGTAAAGCAGAGGAGGTGGCAGCTGTCACAGAGGGGGGAGTGACTTCTCAGCTTCAAGATTGAACACATTGCTCTCTGATGCAGTGTTGCCCAGGACTGCAGCCACATGCAGCAGAGCTCTGAGATGGTATGGGGCGTGTTAGATGTTTTGGTTTGGTTCCATCTGGACAGTTCTACGGCATGTTCAGATGCAGCTATAATCCAGACTGTTCTGGTTTGCTCTGCATAGCTGAGGAATGGGGCTTGGCCTTATGGTTAGAACACAAGGCTAGGCCAGGCGGTGGTGGCGCACGCCTTTAATCCCAGCACTTGGGAGGCAGAGACAGGTGGATTTCTGAGTTCGAGGCCAGCCTGGTCTACAGAGTGAGTTCCAGGACAGCCAGGGCTACACAGAGAAACCCTGTCTCAAAAAAAAAAAAAAAAAAACCCACAAGGGTAAGGTGCACAGCTGGGCACTAGCTTGCAGGGGTTGGGGGAGTGGGGGAATCCCTGGAGGCTTACAAGTGTTTGTTTCTCTCCTCCCCTGTTCTCGGAACAGCATGGCTGTGCCTTCTTGGTGGATGAGGTTCAGACTGGAGGAGGCTGTACAGGCAAGTTCTGGGCCCATGAACACTGGGGCTTGGATGACCCAGCCGATGTAATGTCGTTCAGCAAGAAGATGATGACTGGGGGCTTCTTCCACAAGGAGGAGTTTCGGCCAAGTGCTGTGAGTGTCCCCAGATTTGTTAAGAGCACATGACTGGTTCCTTTCCTGAGGAACCCAGGAACATTCTTGGGTGGCAAAGAGGTTTCCTTTGGTGTCACATGCAATAATAATGCCAGTTAGCTACTGCTGTAGAATCGACACTCTGCCTGTCTGATGGCCCCTTAATTCACACAACGATCCAATCAAGGGCCTTGTATTATTCTTTGCTAATGGCAGATCAGATATAGCAGTTAAGTAAGCTTCTGCCATAGTTACTTTTCTCAGTACTGTGACCCAGTACCTGACAAGGACAAGGAAGAGTTTGTTTGAGGTGACAATTTGAAGGGATGTAATCCAGCATGACAGGAGGCATGGTGACAGGAGCAGAAGATGACATTGTACCCATAGTCAGGAAACAGAAGGCAAATGAGGTTGGACAATAAAACCTTAAGGTGGGTACCCAGTGCCCACATCCTCAGCAAGGATCTACTCCTTAAAGGTCCACACAGGCATTATGAGATTCCAGCAAAGATAAAATCACTTAACGATGCATCTCTCAGGACTACCTCCTTTTTAAATAATGTATAACTGTAGTTAAAGAACTATCATCTTGATTTTCCTGAGCCTAAAGGACTGTTCAGGGTATTTGACAACCAGGTCTCTAGTGCCAACCTGTAGGGCTGCCATTGGGAGACTTCAAAAACATAATCAATGTTACCTTCCCAGCCCTTGAGAGACATTTGCTGGTTCACTTTCTCTTCTTTGGGGGAGATGGAAATGTGTAGGTGCTAGGGAGATGATTGCCATACACGTGTTGAAGATATGCATTTGAGCCCCAATATCCAGGTGAAAGCCAAGCATGGCAGTGCATGCTTGTAATCCCAGCATAGCTGGGGAGGCAGAAACAGGAAGCTTCCTCAGGCTTGCTGGCTATCGAGACAGCCAAATCAGTAAGCTTCAGCTTTAGGGAAAGACCCTATCTCAAACAAAGATGGTAGACAGCTCCTGGGGAGCACTACTACTTGGCTAGAAGCTGTTGTGTAACGGAGTTTCTCTCCTGGGCAGTGGAGGGCCCACATAGAGACCTGAAGAGTCATGTCAGAGAATCAAAAGGGATAGAATCAAAACTGAGGGCAGGAGGAGTCATGCCTAGGGGTGGGGGCAGACCCTGTGAAGTACTCTGATGTGTGAGCTCTTCCCTGGTCTCATTCTAGCCTTACCGGATCTTCAACACCTGGCTAGGGGACCCATCCAAGAACTTGCTGCTGGCTGAGGTCATCAACATCATCAAGCGGGAAGACCTGCTCAACAACGTGGCCCATGCTGGGAAGACCCTACTCACAGGGCTGCTGGACCTCCAGGTATCTGTCTCAACTCAGTGGCATGATGTAGCAGAAGAGGGGGCCTTAGTGAGCCCATGCTGAGGCACCTCCCCAAGGTATCAGCCACATGAGGGGTCTAGTATCAAATGAAGTTTATTTGGGACATGGGTCTGGGAAAGGGAGTTGAGGCAGAGAAAGAAAGGGGACAGAGAAGGACAGAAAGAGAGAGGAGAAAGGAGGGAAGAAGCCATCTGGGAACAGAGAGAGAGAGAGACAGAGAGAGAGACAGAGAAACAATCTTTTTATATGTGAACCAGGCTCATACCTGGCCATTGTTGGGTGAGGCCTAGAGGGATACTGAGCTTGCCCCAGCAGTTCACAGCTAGCTGTGTTGTTGCTTTCAGGTTCCCAGGCCTTTGCAGGTACAAACTAGGTAACCCCATTCTTCCATCTCAACCCCATTCCTAGTCCCCCATTATCTCTTGACATCAAATTCAGATGTACCCTTGATGAGATTCTCCTATAATGCTTTTGTGGCCATAACTCCCTCCTCTGCACTGTTCAGTGGGATCTGTTGCAAGCCCACGTGTGTAATTTTTTTTTTTTTACTATATTGAAAAAAATAGATCATGTAGCCCAGGCTGGCCTTGAACTTGATATGTATCAAGGATGACCTTAAACTCCCCATCCTCCTGCCTCTGCCTCCAAGTCCAGGGATCACAGATGTGTAGTACCATACCAGATAAAAAGCAAATTTGACTAGGTAAAGTTACCTTTAGTGATACTTAAGCTGTCTGATGTCCAAACTACCATTACTCCTATGAGTGATCAACATAGAGAGTAGTTAATGTGCCAGGACTGTGTCTCACTCTAGTGATCTCAGTACTGAGGAGACAGAGAAAAGTAGGTCAGTGCATGTTAGAGAGCAGTCTGGTCCACATAGCAAGTTCTAGGCCAGCAAGGGATGTAGACTAGACTTGATTCCCAGTACCCACAGAAAAATTATGTGGGTGTGGCAGCACCAGCTGGTACCTGGGTAACCATCTTTGATCTCAGTTTGTCTTCCTGTTGCAGGCCCAGTACCCCCAGTTCATCAGCAGGGTGAGGGGACGAGGCACCTTCTGTTCCTTCGACACTCCCGATGAAGCCATACGGAATAAACTCATCCTAATTGCCAGGAACAAAGGTAAGGGAAAGAGTGAGAGTGGTCACCGAACTTAACCATTTCATCAGTGTCTATGGGCACCTAAGTCTCCCTGGTACAGGTACTGAGCTTTGCTAGGTACAGGGTTGGGGAACTGAGGGACAGAGAATAAACAGTCTCAGTTTTCTTTCTCAGAAGATGAAAACTTACTGTGGGATTCATTTTCCCTTTTTCCTCTCTCTCTCATCTGACTATTTCTTTTCCCTGTATTTTTAAGGCTGTGTGTCATATATCCTAGGCTCGTTTTAAACCTGCTATGTAGCTGATTGAGGATGGCTTTGAACTTCTGGTCCTGCTACCTCCTCCTCCCCAGGCTTATAGGCATATATAACCATATCCAGCTTATTCATTCTAAGCATCAAACCAGGGCCTCATATAGGCTAGACAAGCCCTACCACTGAGCTACACCCCACCAGCCCAGGAGAGATTTCTCCATCCACTCTTGTGTTGCAGACATCCACTGAGAAGCCAAGCTGTACTAATGGTGGAAACAGGCACACTGAAACCTACAGCCCTTCCTCCAGGATGCCATGGTTTATCAGGAAAGCAGATAGCAAACACAGTGCATTTGGCAAGCAGTCACAGTCTCGGTCCAGGGACAAGGAAAAAGAGCGAGGAACAGGGGGCGGGGTGGGGGTGGGGCATTGAATGTCTAGGAAGGATTTCTAGGGGTGTTGCTATTTTCCGGAAGGCGTGAGGATGAACAAGGACTGGCTAGGTAAGGAAAGGAACAGTACCCTGGGCAGGGGACCGGGCAGTGTGTGATACACTGGGGAAGGGTCTGGGGGGAAGTTGTGTGAGATACCCTGAGGCAGGATGGCACTAGGAAAGCTGGAGAAATAAATGGGACAGACAGACAGAAGAGTGACGCTGGGGAGTAGATCAGGCTACCTCACACTGGCCTGCAGGACTATTCCAGTGCTCTGGAGTTTTCTAAAGAGCTATGGGAAACCATTGAGAGGTTTTGGTTTGTTTTTATATTTATTTATTTTATGTATAGGAGTGCTCTATCTGCATGCCTCAAGAGGGAATTGGATCTCATTACACATGGTTGAGAGACACCCTGTGGTTGCTGGGAATTGAACTCAGGACCTCTGGAAGAGCAGTCAGTGCTCTTAACCACTGAGCCATCTCTCCAGACCCTCTTCCTCCATCTTACAAAGCCCTTGCAGCAGCCCCAAAGGACAGTGACAATTAGCAGATTTTGTTGGGGTTTTTTGTTCATTTGTATTTATTATAGTACTAGAGACCGAACTTCAACTTTACACGTTATAACAAGTATTGTACCACTCACCTAGCTACCACTACAGTCTGCCTGCTACCCCCATTTCCCTTAAACACTTTTTGTTAGCTCTGTGACATGTGCATGTGTATGACATGTGTTATCTGCCATGGTGAGTATGTAGAAGTCAGATGATAACTCCATGGGGCAGTTCTCTCTGACCTTTCTTTAGGTAGGTTCCAGGGATTAAATTCAGGCCATTTGGTTTGCACAAGTGCCTTGTCTGTTGAACCACTTCATCCCCACTCCCTTTTTAATTTGGAGACAAGAGTCCCATTAAATTGGCCAGAGTGGCCTTGAGCTCCCCTATAACTGAGACTGGCTTGGACTTGCGTTCCTCCTTCACAAGCCTCCTGAGCAGCTAGGATAACAGGCATGTTCTGATAAGCCTAGCTTTTACATTTGTATTTATTTATGGCTTGAGAAAGGGCCTCATTGTATAGCCTAGGCCTAGAACTTGGGATCCTGCTTCCACCTCTCAAGTGCTGCGATTATGGACATGTGCTTGACTTCGCCTCCTTTTTTAAATGTGAAAAACAGTCCCAAAGATAGTGAGCAAGCCAGATAAGTATTCCCAGTATAAATGATGAAAACCCCTTTGAAAATCTGTAGAGTCCTCCCTTTTTCATAATGGCTCTGCCCCTTCTGCGTGTGCTTTTCTAAAGTCTTTGTTTGCCTGTTATCTTACTCCAGAGATTTCTCTACCATCCAACCCAGTAGTAGGAGGAGAGTAGGCATTCAAAGTTAGGAGGACTGGGCCTGGTGGCTCCCACCTTAATCCCAGGCAGGCAGGCCTCTGTGAATTCAGGGCCAGCCTTGTCTGCATAGCAAGTACTAGGCCAGCCAGGGCTACACAGTGAGACCCTATCTCAAAGGGAAAAAAAAGAAAACAAATAAACAGATAAGAAAATTAAGAGTGAAGGAAAGAAGAGGTGGGTGAGGGAAGAGAGGGCAAGGATGGAGGGATGGATAGTGGAGAGGAAGTCAGAGGGGCCTGCCTGAGAGAGAGTGATTGAGGGTGGATAACAGTGGACACTCACCTACAGAGCCTCCCAAATGTGGCCCTAGAAACTCACACCCCTATCTACTTCTGCTCTCCTTCCAGGTGTGGTATTGGGGGGCTGCGGTGACAAATCCATCCGTTTCCGTCCCACGCTGGTCTTCAGGGACCATCACGCCCATCTGTTCCTCAACATTTTCAGTGGCATCTTAGCAGACTTCAAGTAAAGAAGCCATCTCCATGACGTTCAGAGAAAGCCCTGTCTCTGCGGTGTCGACTTGATTAGTTTGCCTAATTCATATTTTCACTTCAAAGTTTATCAGAGGCGAATGCATAAACTAAAGGGTCATTTGTGGGGCAGGCTCATTGGTTAGTGCTTGTGGAGGAGTGGGTGGAGAGGACCACAGTTTGCGGGACACCCCCTGCAGAGCTCATGATGACCATTGGTTAAAGCCCAGAAGTTCCGTGTAAGCCTTGAACACTGTCTTAGGAAAGGCCATGAGGCCATATTTCTGCCAACCCTGGACCAAATAGTCTCTTAGAAGCCACTCGAGGGTATTACACATGCTCCAAGGTGTGTGGGTCTCTGCCCATCTCAAGTCTTGGGGTCAGAGATAATGGTATCCTCTTGTCCCTCACAAACAAACTCTTGTTGCTTCTCGCCAAATCCCTAGCTCCATGCCCCACTTGTGACTTACTGAGGGTCTGGGTGGCTATCAGGAAGATGACAAGGTAGGGAGGTAAGGACCATGTTTGGAGGTGTAGAGAGGCCTCTGGTATCCTAAACACCAAGATTCATGCAGGCCTGTGCCCTGATGATGTCCCTGGCCTGTGAATTCTGTCCTTGACTGACTGACCTGTGCTCCGAGTTGTGTCAGTGATAGACAATTTAGTCAATATTTCCATCCTGTGTCGATCTTGACTCATAGGAAGGAGACAATATCCTGAGCATCCAGGAGACTCATGGAACCTGAAGTTGCCTCTGGAGCCTCCACTGAGGAACATGACAGCAGAGACCCTTCATCCCACCTCCAGGGCCTCATCCTGGGAGCACTGTAGTCCGTTTTTCACCCACTTACCTTCCCTCCATTCCTGAGCAGGGCTAGTCTGTCCCAGAGGGCCACTGCTAGACTTCCTGTTAGGGGCAATGTGCCATTATAAAGACATAAGGACACCACACATGGAAAAGCTGCTTGCTGGCTCCTATTGGTTTTTTCTTGGACTTGCCCCCCACCCCAGCTGGACTTCACCTGAGTATGGGGCTTTCCTGGCAGCCAGGAGCCCATGCTTATGCAGGCTCCAGCATCTCAGCCAGAGGCCAGATGTTCTTAAAACTGACTTGACCTGAGAGGCTACTGAGCAGACCCCCCTTAATCCTTCAGAGAGGCAGCATTTATTTAACATGTAGACTGCAGGGGGCGCTGTTTTATCCAGAAGCCTCTTTGCATCCTATTGCCCTCCATGACTGTCTAGGGGGCTGAGACTACCAGGGTTTCCAATCCAGCCCTTTTGTTTTCTTAGTGAGGAATCATCCAGCGATCTGGCTTTCATGCTTCCTTAGACACAGCCCTCAACTTACTTGCCTTGAAGAAGAAAGGCACTGACACACTTAACACAAACAGCAGATCCACGAATACCAGTTCACATCACAACCCTGCAGTCCGAGATTCAGGTCCCTCTTCATAGCCATGCTTAAGGTCATTTCCATCAGTGACAGGGTCTGTTCCCTCCCTCCCTGTAAGCTTTCACAGACCAGCGTGTTTATTTCCACATCTATTATTTATTCACTCATCAGACTGTCATGAAATATTTGTGTTGTTCCAGGTCCTGTGCTAAGCACCAGGCACTAAACATGAAATGAGAGAAAGTTCTTGCTCCCAGGGACTCCCACTCTCTCAGGAACCACAGACCTCTAATGTTGAAGTCAGAACGGCAAGTGTGCCAGCAAGGATTTCTGAACACTAAATCCAACGAGCCTTCACAGGGAAAGGATGTTTGAGCAGAATTCTCCAGAATGAATAGGAGTTAGCCAAGCAGAAAAGGCAAGGAAGAATGAAGGAAGCAAAAAGCATCTGCAGAGGCACACCTGTGCATAGTCTCAGCCCTTTCCCTGGGGAGCCAGACCCCCACCCAGAAATCCCAAGGTTCAAGGTCTTCTTTAACAAACCAGAAAAATGCAGGCCAAGCCCTAATTCATCTTATTGGTTTAAGCATGCTGCCTCCTGAGAACCACAGTATCACATGCAGATACTCCAGCAGGTCCTTAGAGTTCAAAGGCTTTTAATCCAGGACAGAAGCAGAAATCGCTCTTGGGTGAAGGGAGCAGCTGATATTTCATTTTCTTGCCATAGGGCATGTTGACAGAAGAATGAAATTCTTTGTCAAAAGTCATCTCCAGATGTATTTTCCACCCTTTGCCTGGAGACAGTTCTTCCCATTTTAAACAAACAAAATTTAAGGCGTTTATCCACAAGTTCTTGACTTGGATACAGTGCATTCCTGCGCGATGCCCTCTTTGGGAGTACGGGAGATTAGCTGGAAGAATTCCAAGGAAAAGAATTTTCCACAAAACTCAATTGTAGAAACTTAGAGAAGGTTGATGAAAACCCAGGAAGCCTAGTGGGCAGGCTTCTGCCTAGGACAGAACCCACAAACAAGCGCGTCTGTGTGGAAGGTCTGGATGAACACCCATCATGCATTAGTGCAGTAGAATTTAGTAAGCGTATCTAGCCAGTCTTGTCAGTTGTGCAGAAAACAAGGCCCAGTGTTAGCAAGTCTTAGCATATCCTCCCTTTTTATTATGAATGGGTGGTTTTTTTTATAATTTTTACTGATGCTCAGTAACCATGCAAAACTGTGCACATTCATGTACTAATACATCTGTACCTATCTATACGCATATACATCAGCTCACTGTAGAAAACCGCAGCCAGCAAGCATTGCAGACTCATGCAAACCAAGTGATCTTGTTTACAGTAACCGTCAACAGTGCCAATAAGGGGTGAGGACACTAACCTGTCACGGTGTAACTGGTGACCACGTGCACAGTTCCATGACTTAAATGTTTCCTGTGTTAATCAGTATTCTTAAATTAAAAGAAAATGTTTATAATGGAACTGTCAGAGTGAATGTGGGCTTTTTCTAGGGATACATTAATTCTCAGCAGTGTCAACTCACCCCAGATGGTGCAACGACAGAGTATGTATGGATTCCAGCCTGTGGAGCCATTGAACTTCCTGGTTACTTAGAGGAGCATGAGGGGCTCAAACAGCTGCATCCCTTGAAGGCCCACTCAAGCATGGGTGACAGTCAGAAAGCTGTGTCATTGAAGCTCCACTGACGAGGCCTCTCCTTGAGCAAAGGTCATGTAACCTCAGTTGGGTGCTGTGGGTCTTGTGGACATCTATAGTCCTTACCTCCGTCCTATGACCGAGTATCTGACAAGACAAGAGTTACCTCCATCCTATGCCCCAGTATCTGACAAGACGAGAGTTACCTCCATCCTATGACTGACGAGAGTTAAGGAGAAAGGGTCTGTTTGAGCTTCAAGTTTAAGAGAGGACACACAGGTCGGCTCAGCAGTTGAGAGCACTGACTGCTCTTCCAGAGGTCCTGAGTTCAATCCCCACAAACCACATAGTGGTTCACAACCATCTGCAATCAAATCCTATGCCCTCTTCTAGTATGTCTGAAGAGAGAGACAGTGTGAGACAGTGTACTCACATACATTAAATAAATAAATAAATAAATAAATAAATAAATAAATAAATAACTCTTTAAAAAAAAAAAGACACACAGTCCAGCACCGTGTAGAAGGCATGGTCACAGGAGCACAAGGCAGCTGGTCACATTGGTTCCTAAGTCAGGAAGCAGAGAGCAGACAGAAGTGGGATTACACTAGAGAAACGCAAGGCCCACCCCAAAGATTCCCTTCCTCCTAAAAGTTTCTCAGCTTTCAAAAGTAGTGCCACCAGCTTGGAAACAAGGGTTCAAACACCCCTAGTTCAGGGGAAGAGGGGCCACATTCATAGATCTCCAACACAGTAAGTTTCTCTGTGATTTTCCTGGGCCTCCAAGCCTCCCTTCTGTCTACAAATGGCTGCTTCAATGCAGCAGAAAAGCCACATGATATGTGGGACAGGCAGGTGGGAAGTTACCACACACATCCCGCCCCAGTTTCATTTTCAAGACTTTGTAGGGGCTGCAGTGACTGAGCAGAGGGCAGGGGCGAGCACGGTAAAGTCGGGAGGGCTGATGTCTCTGAGGTCGGTACTGCTGGGTCACAAAGAAGGTGGAGATGACATGACAAGGGGAACAGGGCAAAGAGGTGGCCCAGCTCCCATCCTGGAGGGCTCTGTGCTCCACACTGAGAGGCGGGCTTTCTATGGGGGCAAGGGAGCTGCTGAGGGTGTGGGACAATAGAATCAACCAGGATGCACTTAGAAAAACCACTGAGAGTTGCCATTGGAGAGATGGCTCAGCAGTTAAGAGTGCTTGGTGCTCTTGCAGAGGGCCCAAGTTCAGTCCCTAGTACCCATGTTGGGTAACTGTAACTCCAGCTACAAGGGATCTGACGCCCTTTTCTGGCCTCCATGGTCACCTACACTCACATGTGCAGACTCATAGTTAGATGTCCCTGTACAATTTAAAGTAACTCTTTAAAAGGATTCCTGGGGCTGGAGCAATGGCTCTGGGGTTACAGGCACTTGATATTCTTGCAAAGGATCCAGGTTCAGTTCCTAGCACCCACATGGCAGCTCACAACCACCTGTAACTCAACTGGCCCCCAAGGACAGTATGCATGTAGATGGGGCACGGACATATGGAGCCGGAAATCTTCCCCGCAAGTTGGGAGGAGCTAAAGTGGGAGGAGTAAGGAGAGGAAGAGGAGGAGTGAGGAGAGGACGAGGAGTAGGAAGAGGAGGAGCTAAGGGGAGAGATGTAGGAGCCATGGATGGGAGCTGGGCCACAGGCCTTGTCTAGTCGGGAAGATGGCAGCTGATTAAGAACAAGCCATATCGGGTGCCACCAATTTAAAATATTACCGCAACAGAGATACATCAGACAAAACACACTCATAAAAAATAGAAATAACTCTTCTTTTAAAATTCGTGAGTGCATGAAGAAAAGAGATGCTGGGGAAGTCGTGAGTGGCCAGTGGTGTCGAAATGGCCTACAGCCTGCATGTAACATCCAGCACATGAGAGAAGTGATTGGCTCAAGGGGCAGCATTTGATTTACTTATTTATTTTTGAGACAGTGTTTCACTATGCAGCCCTGCTGGCCTGTAACTGATTAAGTAGACAAGGCTGCCCTCAAACTCACACCTGCCTGCCTTTGCCTCCCAAATGATAAGATTGACAGCATGTGCCACTGCCCCTGGCCCAGTCCACAATTTTTACCTTAATATTAACTCTTTTCATTTTTTTTATGTGTGCATATACGTTTGTGCACCACTTTCATGCAGTGCCAGAAGAGGGTGCCTTGTCCCTTGGAACTGGAGTTACCATTGAGAGTGACCATGTGGGTAGTGGAAATTGAACCTGGGTCCTCTGGAATAGCAGCCAGTGCTCCTAACTACTGAGCCATTTCTCTAGCCCGTTTGCCTTTATATTAAATATGTTTTTTGTTTGTTTGTTTTCTTTTTTTTTTTTTTTTTTTTTTGGTTTTTCGAGACAGGGTTTCTATTTATAGTCCGGGCTGTCCTGGAACTCACTCTGTAGACCAGGCTGGCCTTGAACTCAGAAATCTGCCTGCCTCTGCCTCCCAAGTGCTGGGATTAAAGGCGTGCGCTACCACTGCCCGGCTTAAATATGTTTTTAAAATAATCATATATTAATGATGACAATAATAATAGTCTAACGATTATTTTGAATATCTGCTATGACAAGAACACTCTCTTGGTGTTTTGAAAATTCTCCTCCTAACAACTTAAAAGGTATATGTTTTTGTGTGCCTATTTTTTTGACATATGAGGGGGTCAAGGCAGGATATCATCATATAGACCAGGCTGGCCTTGTCTAGCCATGTATCCCAGACTAGTCTTAACCTGCTGATGGTTCTTCCTCCATCTCTCAAGTGCTGGGATTATGGGTATATTCACCATGCCCAGCTTGGGTACCTGGATTTGATATATACCATATATGAAAGAACACAGTGTATGAAAAAACACATATGTGGATACATACATGCAGTCAACTCAGTATTGGTTGAGGTTGAGGTTGAACTGTCTGGCAACCAACCTTGGAAAGTTAATGTGAACTTGGCACACAGCCTGAGGCAGCTGAGTTGAAGAAGCCACAATCGCAAAGTCAGATGTCATGACCTTTGTCATCGTCGTCACCTCCTCTTCCTCTCCCTCCTCCTTCTCCTTCTTCCTCCTTTTTAAGAATGTCATGAATCCCAGATTGTTCTCAAGCCTGCTGTATAGCTGAAAATAATCTTGAACTTTTATCTACCTGCCTTTACACCCCAAGTGTTGGGATTACAGGTGTGCACCACCATGGCTGGTTTTATGCTGTGGTAGAGACCTAACCTAAGACTCTGTGCATGCTGAAGACTCTGCCCCAGCCCCCAGATTCTCTCTAAAACTTCACTGCTCCTCACATTCCATCCATTGTCTTTACTGGTAAGACAGAACAGCTCAGTAGAATGACTCAGTGTGGCTGCTTCCTAGCTGGTGACCTTGAAGAAGCCACTCCACCTCTCAGCCCATTGCAAACACTACAACAAACACTTGCATTTTCCAAGTGCTTTCCTGGGCTGAGTCACTATCGTAAGCACCGTCCACTAAGCTGGTCATTACTTGCCCTAACAGAAGATACAGTTGTTACCTTCACAAGTGAAGAAATGGAGGCTCAGGTTGTTCAAATGGTCCAAGCTTCCAGGTAGGTAGTGACAAGGAATAGAGTGAAGCTTCAGCCCTGCGTTCTCCAGGGTTCACCAGGACAGTGGCTGGCTGTGATAGCTAGCTTAAATTTTTTCAATTTTTTCAATTTTATGTGTATTGGCTGTGCACCACGTATACATTGCCCACAGAGGCCACAAGAGGGTGTTGGATGCTCTGAGGCTGGAGTTACAGACAGTTGTGAGCTGCCATGTGAATGCTAGGAAGTGAATCCAAATCCTCTGGAAGAGCAATGAGTGCTCTTAACCCCTGAACCATCTCTCCAGTCTCTGGTTTGCCTCAACTGTCAATTTGACACAACCTAGAATCACCTGAGAAGAGTCAGTGCATCTACACTGAGTCGGTCTGTAGGCATGTCTGTGGGAGACTGGGTTGAGTTCTTGATATGGGACAACCCAGCACTCCGTAGGCAGCACCATTCCCTAGGCAGACTCTCTTGGACTGTAGAAAAATTAAGCCAAGCAAAAGCAAATAATTGAGCATGCATACAGTCATTTATCTCTGCTCTTGACTATGGATGTGATGATATCAGCTGCTTCAAGTTCCTGCCACTGTGACTTCCCAACAGTAATGATTTATAACCTGCAATTTTAGTGAAAATAAACTCCTTCTCCTGCAAACTGCATTTTGTCAGGGCTCCTCTGTCTCAGCCACAGAAATGAAGCTACAACACTGACTAAAGCTTTCTAAGAATCATGTAAGTTGGATGTGGTGGCTCACATGTGAAATCTTAGCAACTTAGAAGGCTGAGCCAGGAGGATTGAAAGGATTGTGAAGGATAGCCTAGGCTATATAGCAAGATCTCATCTCAAAAACTAAAGGGACTATAGAGATGGCTGACTGGTTAAGAGTATATATAGACTGCTCTTGCAAAAGACCTGGGTGTGGGTCCCAACACCCACATAGGGTGATTCAACTGCCTACAACTTCAGTTCCGGGGATGTGACGACCTCTTTTGACCTCTTTAAGCATTGTAGTCATGTGTACAAACCCAGACTCACATATACATGTGATTAAAAAGAAACTCTTAATTTTTTTTTTTCAAGACAGGGTTTCTCTATGTAGCCATGCCTGTCCTGGAACTCACTCTGTAGACCAGGCTGGCCTTGAACTCGGAGATTCACCTGCCTCTGCCTCCTGGGTGTTGGGATTAAAGGCGTGTACCACCACTGCCCGGCCCTTAAAAATTAAGTATAAAAACTAAAGTCATGTACTAATTACCTGTCAAGTGGGAGGTGTCTGGCATATGATGGTTCCTTTCAGTACTGCTTTGCTCTTTGCTGGGCTTGGTAGTGTAGTTCTATAACCCAGCACTTGGGAAGCAGAAGCAGGAGGATCTGCTCAAGTTTGAGGGGCACCTTGGTCTACAGAGCAAGTTTCAGGCCAGTTGTGACTATACAGGGAGACTCTGTCTCTAGAAACTCAAAACAACAACAATGAAACAAAACGCGACTTCTGTGTGATAAGCCAAGTGTCTCGTAAGCCCAACACCACCAAATAGTGTGTTTCCATAGCAGCACGTTCCCACAAATAAACATTGCCCATTTCCCAATGTAGGGCAGGCCTGGCCATTGCTGGAGTTAATTTCAACCATTAATCAGCGAAACCAATATTTTGTCTCTGGTGCAGGCACAAAGGAGGCCGGGTGGTAGTAGGCCTGCCCACCAAGTCTAATCAGGCAAAACTTTACAGTTGAATGCTACAGGATCAAGATAAGACCATAAAACATGGCCTTTGCCTGAGGCTCGGAGGCTCCCTGTTGCTTTCCAAGGAAGAACCCAAGAGTCTGGAAGTCAACGATAGCAATGAAATGAAAGTTCCAGCCAGCTTGTTGGTGTGACTTATCCCAGGTTGAGGACAGGGGATAGACTCCTGGGCTAAAAGGCAAGGTAAGTTTGCTTTGGAAAAACAGTAGCAAGGGGCTGTGCGGTGCAGGTGCTGCTCATTAGCAAAGCAGGCCACTCTGTCCCTAAGTGGAGGCAATGCAAAGCCATAGCTTGGGACAGGAGTGCTGGCCCAGACAGTTCTTAGCAGACAGGAAGGAAGCCACGCTGTGAGAAGCAAACAGGATCCCATCCAAAATGCTGTTCAGCAACTGTGTGCATTGCGCTTAGCATGGGTCCAGAAGAGAAGCACATAACTGTTTTCTCTGCCTAGGCTGAAGGCGACTCCAGAAATTGTTAAATCAGTTTAATACTTGCTGAGCAAGCATGAGTTTGATTCCCCAGTACCTACATAAAAGCTAGGTGGGGTGACAGGGGAAGTGGGGCTAGGTGGATCCCAGGGTTTCGATGGCCAGCTAGCCTAGTACTTAGTGAACAATCCTCTCCACCTCAAAGGTTAAGGTGATCACAAGGGGTTATGGTGTCACATTCCTGTAACTCCAGCACTTGGGGGGCAGGAGAAGCACAAGTTCAGGCCATTCTTGACTACATAATAAATTTGAGACCACCCTGGGCTATATGAAACTCTCTCTCAAGACCATCATCAACAAGAAAAGATGACAGGGATAGACACCCTTGGAGAGCAGGTGGCTCTTGATATCCTGGGGAGACACAAAGGGAGCTTGTCAGCCACTCACGTGGTGTACACCTGACACCTCAGCAGTCCTTCGGCCCCCTAAATCAGCCTGTGTCAGATTCTGGGATAAGTACTAGTTTCTGAATTTTATCGTTTTATTTTGAGACAGAGTCACATACAGCCCTGGCTATCCTCAAACATCTTCCTGCCTCAGTCTCAGGAGTGCACCACCAGGCCCAGCCTCACCAAAACATTTTTATTTAATCTTTTCTTTTTTAAGTATATTTTTGAGTCTCGGTGTGTGAGTGTATGCCACACATAGCATGTGGAGGCCAAGGACAACTTGTGGAGACACTGAAGTGGAAGAAACCCTTGGGTTAGCAATAGTGATTGAGGTAAACAAGAAGAAGTCCAACCTAGTACCTTGTGGTTTGGGTTATACTCACATGCATCCTCTTGTCACAAAGCACTTGGCAGTACAGACTCTTACTTCCGTGTACTGTGCACACACCCCTCCAAATAATGCAGCTAGCAACCTCAGAAACCACCCAAGCCCCAACATGCCGTAGGCTTTACTCCCATCTCTGAAGAACAATATGCGTTTCTTGGCCCCTGGTAATAATCAGATTTGGGCAGTTTCTGTTCAAGCATATTTCCAGTGCATTCTTATGAGGAATAGAAGACCCAATCCACCGTGAACTTGTTTTGGGTAATGCACTAGGACAAACTATCCCTCAAGTGAAAACTTACAGGGAGAATCCTTACTTACTAGCTTATACCTATGTACAAATGACTACGCAAATGATTAAAATCCGATGCACTATGGGTATGCATATGATTAAAATCAGATGCACTATGGGAAGAGACAAACACAGTAGAAAAGAGAATGTAGGGAACCTGGAGTAAGCGCAGGACATGCCAAGACCAAGTTCTCAGCACAAAGGTGATTAACTTGCCCCAGAGGGACAAAGGGCAGGGATAAGGACAAAGACAGGAGACAGAGAAAGAGGAAGAAGAAAAGGAAACGAGGGAGGAGAAAGGGCACAGAGAGGAGAAGGTTTTTTCCAGGCGGTAGATGGTGACAAAGGGTTGCCTCTGGATAGAGAAGAGGCAGACATGGCCCATAGGCAAATGGCAGTTTATAGAGGTAAAATGGGAAACTCCATGTTAGGATGAGGTATTTAATTTTTATTGGAGGGCAGCCAAAGGGGAATTCTGATAGCTGAACCTCAATACTTTGATATCTGGACCTTGGTGGTCAGCCTCAGGAGGAGGAAGAGGCCGAATAAGGAAATAGACCTTGGCGGCTAGCTTTAGGGATGTGATCTAACCATTTTTTAGCACAGAAGAGAGAATGAGGGAGAGGGGCAAAGCCTGCTAGAGCCTTGCTTGCCATGCTCAGGTTGGCTAGAGTCCTTTCAGTGAATATTCTGTCAATCAAACTCGAGCAACCAGTCTGCTCCTCCCTCACGGGAGGCAGGCTATAGCGTTGCTTTTGTGCCGTTGGCGATCTTGACCATGTATCTGTCTATAATCTGCACTATTCACCCCAAATAAAGTGAGCCTGCTATTTATGCCTTTCTGTGTGAGCAAATCATTATTTGCACTCGACTCAGATCCCCCTCACTGGCAACAAAGAGGCTCTTCTTAGCCTTCCCAACCTCCAGAACTTTATGAGTGCTGTTGGAGTCACCCAGTCCACAGCATTGAGGGTGGGTGCCTCTTCTTTGGTTCACTGTTTTGAGATAGGGTAGCCCAGGTTGGCCTAGAACCTTGTACCTAAGGATGATCTTGAACTCCTGATCCTCCTGCTTCAGCTTCCCAAGTGATGGGATCACAGTCATGTGAAACCCACCACGCTTGGTTGGGAGGCAAGGGTTGAGCCTCATTCTGTGTGTAGCCTAGGCTGGCCTCACACTTATGACAATCTTCCTGCTTGAATTTTCCCAGTGTTGGGATTTTAGGCATGAAGTACCATGTCTGGCTCTGATTTTTGTTATAACCCAAAGGGGTTGGGCATGTGGCTGAGTGGCAGAGTGTTTGCCTAGAGTGTACAAAACCCTGGGTTGGATCCCCAGCATCGCGCGTGCGCGCGCGCGCACACACACACACACACACACACACACAGCCCCAAGAATTATTATTTTGGAATTGTTTTTCAAAGAGAGAAGTCACCAATGTAGCCACAATCTGAATCTAAAAGCCTTTTCCCCGTGGCTGGAACTTGTTAAGACTATATTGGTCTCAAACTCAGAACAATCCGCCTGCCTCTGCCTCCTGACAGTCAAGGCCTACACCATGAAGCCTGGCTCGTTTTGTTTTCTAAACAGGTCAAATTACTGCCCTGCTGTGGTTACCGAATGCTAACCTACTTTCTGTTCTCTGTAGCTGGTGTATAAAGGGAGAGTGATACACTTGTTCCTTGTGTGCCCTCTGCTGCCGCCTTGTGAGCAGACTACACCGAAAAGGCCACTCTGGTGAGAGAGCTCTCTTCTCCCACACAAGTCCTTTGCAGGGCTAGCAGCCTTGTAGTTAAGCCGTGTGCTGACTCTGCTCACTGCAGTCACCTGGGGACCTGGCAGTAGGAGTAACAGGAAAGGGCCTAGCAGTGTTTTGAAGGTATTACCATCATAAAAGTGAACCAAAGGCAAACTCAAGGACAGAGACTTACTGGTTTGTTTGTTGTTTTTCGATATAGTCTGTCTAACTTAGACCAGATTGACCGCAAACTTACTAACAAGCCAAGGACTCCTGATCTTCCTGCCTGTACCTCCTTAGGACTGGGATTACATGCATCTGCCAAGCAATGTATGTGATGCTCGGCATTGAACCCAGGACTTAGCACTCTACCAACCGAGCTGCAGTTCCAGTCCCTAAGCTGGCATTTCTAAACTAGCCAATGACAATGAAAATGGCTATGATTTGACATGCACATTTTTAAGGTTTTTAATTTTGAGTTTACAATATAATTACATATATTTCCCCTTCCCTTTACTCCCTGCAAACCTTCATACATCCTCTGGTGCCCTTTCAAATTCATTGCCTCTTTTTTTCCTTAAATATTGTTGTGTATATGTGCATATGCTTCTAAATATAACCTGCTCACTCTGTACTTGTATGTGCATATTTTCATGGCCACCCATTTCATATTGGATGTGCCCTTCTAGGTGGTGTGCCCTTCCCTGAGGAAGACTACTTCTCCTGATCTCAGATTTCCCATGTTGCCTATAGTTCTTTGTGTATGGTTGAGGCCTGTGGTGGACCCCCCAACACACACACTTTGGCATGTCCATTGTTATCTGTGTTCATGCTCTTGCTTATTTTATAGAGGACCAACAAGATGGCTCTGTGGGTGAAGGTGCTTGCTGTCAAGCCTGACAACCTGAATTTAACTCCCAAGACCCAAATGGTAAAAGGAAAGCAACTTGGAAAAGTTGTTCTCCAATCTCCCTATATGCACAGTGGCACACACACAAATAATTAAAAAAAAAAAAGTTCTTAAAGGAAGGAAACTACTAAAAAGCTACAAAACAAAGCATTTGGTGGACAAATTACAAAGATCATGGCTGCTTTCCTTTTAATGCAGGTACAATCACCTAATAAGCATGTTTGCTATTCATTATGAAAAGCAGCATTTGCACTGTCCTTCAGATGATGACGTTTTGCTTGGACAGAGTCCCTCTGCCCCAATGACACTGCAAAGCTCCCAAATGTAAGCACCCTGGACCTCTTGGTGATTGACTTCGTCTCAGGGGGTATGGTTCCTACCTCAGTTGGTGTACAGTGACTTCCTGATGGGAGAAACAAGTCCACTCTGGGCTTTCACCGTGGCAATACAGCTGATGAGCATGAGGAACGGTGCTGGGGCCCCAGTGGCAGCCCAGAAGCCTTGCTCTATGTTGTAAGTTCTGGCCTGCTTATCTTACACAGTACTCAAGTGTTCACCAGTTTTGCCTGTTCTGTGGTGCTGGGGATGGAACTCAGGACCTTAGGACATACTAGGCAAGAGCTCTGCCACAAAGCCCCAGCCCCAGTCGTTGTTATTTTCATATCCGTCCCCATGATAAGAAGGGTCTTCCACCTCAGACTGCAGTTCAAGGTTCAGAACCTTAATACCCTTGCCCCAGGTCAAGGAACTAAAGCTCGGCAGAACCCAAGTCCCCAGGCTCCACATCCTGTGCTCCTCTGCCAATCTTTCTGCCTTCCAGCTTCACAGCAGCAGGCTGCTACGGTGATCTTGGCATAGCACTCCTCCAGGAACTGCCTCTTCATAGAAACTTCTGGCCACTATGGGATGGGATGTCCTATACAGTATAATGTTCCACTAAGGGCTTTTCCCTAAAGCTGGTTAAGACCTTCCTTTTTGGCCCAAGACAGCCTTGAACTTCTTCTCCTGTGCCTGTGTCACCAGCCCTGAGTACAGGCAGGCACAACCGTGCCTGGTCCTATGCAGTGCTAGGGACTGAACCCAGGGCTTCACGTCCTGCATGCTAGACAAGCAGTTTACAAAGTGAGCATCAGCCTAGTCCCAGGTATTAGTTTTTGTCTCTTCCATGTCCTTGGCCTTCTGTCTAAAATCCAAGTGTAACCAGGGCTAGGAGAGGCCTAGTTGCTGTTCTTGAGTGTGGCCAAGGTTCCGAACACTTGTGAGAAACGTTCCTTGTCCAGGATTCGGCCATAGCGTAAGGTGAGGTAGAAGGTCTGCTTGCCGCTGTACTGCTGGATGCGCACGAACACATCCTGGACTCGTTCCTCAGATTCTGACAGGGGTATCATGTCTGACACAGCACAGTATGTGTCCTGTCGCCAGCCCCAGAAGGTCAGGTGGGCCACTCGAAGCAGGGTGCCTGACTCATTCACATACAGTATGCCCACCAGTCTCCGGAAGAAGTGGCTCATCCAACACAACATGACCAGGGCGAAGCTGGCGATTCCACTCATAAGGCACACAGAATTGAGGGTCATGAGGCCCTGTGAGTAGCAGTAGAAGCCCGGGGGCAGGGCCACCACAGTCACAGCTGTCTGTGCCAGCTTCAGCCGAGACAGGAACCCAAGTGCTCTGATGGCATTGAATCGGTAGATTGTGTGGAACTGTTCTGTCTCGGTGCCTGGTGGCTTCTCCTGTGAGGGGGGAGATCTCCCCCCCACCCACCTTTTGGAATCCCCCTGCCCAGCGCAGCACCACAGTGGCTGTAGAAGTCTCCTCCATGCAGTGGGTCCCTGCAACCTTGGCACAGCTCGAAGGAGGAAAGCCTGGAAGAGAGAGGTTCCTTTCAGAAGTCATCCACACTAATCACACAATGAACAAGGCAAAGCATCTCCCAGAAAGGCTTCAACCAGCCCTGGAAAGTCACCATGACTGCTGGAGGAAAGTGATAAAGCCAGACACTTTTTGTGTGAGAAATTCTACTCTAGATAAGTACCATTCTCCCATTTTTACAACTAAACAATCTAACAAACAAAAAATCCCAATCCTAGCCAGTGAGATAGCTCATCTAGTCCAGGTGCTTGCTACCAAACCGGATGACTTGAATTTGATCCCTAAGACCAACATGGTGGAGGAAAAGAAATTACTCACGCAGGACGTCCTGGACCCCCACATGCCATACATAGCACAAGCATATGCACAAGAACAAAACACGCACAGGATTAAAACAAAACAAAACAAAACATTTTAAAACCTAAGCCCTTCCCACCCCCCACCCCACTGCCCCAAGTGCAAGGAAACAAGTGCAGTCGGATGCTCTGCCAGGCCCTTTCCCTTAGGCAGGTCCAAATAAGAATAGAAAACCTGTAGTTCCAGCCATTCAACAGAGACGGGCCCACAGTGGACTCAAACTTGGGGACCTTTCTTCCTCAAGGGGTAAACCAATCGGTGTCGGAAACCCACGCAACAAAACCGTGAGGTACCTATCACAGTACCTTCGCAGTTCTCCGACTGCCTTACACGTCAAGAGAACGTCTTTGCATTAATTAGCTTGGTTGGGAAGCAGAGAAGTGAGGCACGGAAGCCCTCAACACTGCACAATGGTTCTCTGGAGTAAGTAGAGAGTGAGCAAATTCTGGGCTTTAGAGTCAGAAACACTAGCTGTGCATTCTTCTTCACCTTTCCAAAGAAAACCTCAGAATGTGCTGAGGAAAACACGGTTCTTAAGCTCCGAACTTGGTGTGTGCACAAGGTGGGAATTGTAGTTTTGCGGACAGTCCACGTGACCCAAGGGAAACAAAGCAGGGAAATAGCCCATGATAATACACTCTGGCCTGCCACCGGCAGATTTCCCGAATGGGTGGCCCAGGCATCCCTCCTGCCAGTTCTAGGCCCGACCGGGTCCCCTAAGCGCGTTCCCTCCTTCACCTTCACCGCCCACCACCTGACATTCCTACCATGAGCTTGTCGCCTGCTACAGGAAGTACGTTAACCTTGTCCCCGGAAACTTGAAGGGCGCATGCGCGAGCGGTAAACTACCCGCATGCACTAACTCAAAAAAAAAAAAAAAAAAAAAAAAAAAAGGATGTAGCTATAGCTTGGGAATTGTAGTTCAAATTTTTTATCCGCCGCGAGTGTTCTGTGAGCCACTAGGGAATCTTCCCATCGTGCCTTAGGGCTCTGGGGCTCGGAGCAGACCCGGAAGTTCCGGGTGGAGTTCCGGGTAGAGTTCCGGATGCCAACAAGTTTTCTGGCTGTAGAAATGGCCACGCTCTGTCTCTTCGACATGGATGGGACCTTGACTGCCCCGCGGCAGGTAGGCTGCGCCCGGATGGCTCGCGGTGGTGGATCAGAGCCCTTGCTGCCCTTGACCGTGGTAACGACTGTCCGGGAACTAGGAGACGCGGGTCCTGAGCGGGGTCCTGAGAGGGGTGCGCAGGAAGAGGGGCCAAAAAAGCCTTCCGAGTAGGAAACGTAGTCAAAGTCAGAAAGTTCGGGTCTGAATTTCTTCTAGGGCCCTCGGGACCGGTGACCTGGATTGAACTCCAGCTTCGGCCCTCTGACCTGCTGTTTCACCTCCCAGCTCTGTCACCTTTGACTGTCACGCAGGTTTTCAGCTGTCTGACCTTGAGCAAATCTCTTTCTCGGAGCCCTTGAAACCACTTTAAATGGGGCATTGCCTGTTGCGTGGGGTATTTTGGTGAGGATCACAGAAATTCGTGACAGTGCCTTGGCCAGGTCAGACCTCAAAAGTGAGCTGCTTCCACCAGCCCGTGCAGTAATGGGGACCCAGGGAGTAATAGTCTGTTTGCTGAGAGCATCAAGGATCCAGTGGGACTTTCTTCCGCTAATGGATCTTGTTGTTATGCCCAGAGAAGTTTGTGTAAGTTCGTCCTGGTGATGGCATTCTCTCTGCCTCCTATGCACAAATTCATGATTGAGCAGAAATCATTCAAACTTGAGACTGGGCTTAAGTAGCTTGTGTGTCGACACCTCTGCCCCACCCCTTTTAGATTTTGTGGACTGTGTTCCAGAACTCCGTGTTAAGTGTGTGTAACCCTAGATATGTCAGTCTATCTTTTTTTATTCCTTTGCAATTACATGTGTACAGTGAATCCGATCGTATTCATTCCCAACCTTCCTATGCTCCTTATGGAGAGCACCTACCCACACATCCCTCTTCCTGTGCTCCCTATGGAGAGCACCTACCCACACATCCCTCTTCCATTTTCGTGGCCTTTTTAAATTTTTATTTTAATACCTCACTAAGTCCAGTTAGTGCTACACACACACAACACACACACACACACACACAGCTATCCATCAAGTAATAGGCAACATATCACCCATGCTGGAATGTTAACTGACTTGATCTCTTCCATTCTTTCTGCCCCCTGAGCTGTGGCAGGGTTGATACAGGGCATTTATTCTTAGCACTTTGACCAGGTATGCATTAGCCACTGCCTACTAAAAAGAGAAAGTTTTCTTACCAGAGTTGAGAGCAGCGTTAGTCTATGGATAGAAACATACATATTTAGAAGGCAATTTGGCAAGATTTCCATTCAACAAAACAATGATAGTAGATTTCCCCATAGTGCCTTCGAGCCCCTGAGTGATAGGCTTGTGACCAAGGCATTAATTCCTTCCTGTGGAATAGGCCTTATATCCGATCAGGAAGTGATTTTGCTACCCCTAAACCAGTCATTCCACCATGGCACAAGCACACATTGCCTGGCAAGTCAGTGCTGTCATGTAGGATCCATGGCTGGGAAATCCACAAATGACTTTTCTTCCGAAGTGCCTTGCATAGCACCTTCCAGTACTATGAAAGCAAAACACATCCGTTCTGGCCTGATGTCTCTGTGTCTTGCAACCAAAGTGTGTTGTGTCTCCAGCAATATGGACTTACCATTTAGTTAGGGTAGGCGACCAAAAGCAGTTTCAGGAGCCTGTGTTGTTGTGGGGTCTTGGCTCTCTCTGGTCCACAGTTTCCCCTACCTGGAACTAAGTTTTTTGTTCTTTGTTTTTGTTCTTAATAAGTCATGTCTTGTAGGAGAAGACACTGTATACATACATATCTCTTACACTGATTTTCAGAAAGCTTTAACTACATTAGGTGTAGTTAAAGCACAGCCCTCCCTCTCGTCTACCCCACCCTCCCTTTTGGAGCCAGAGTTGGATCTACGACATTCCACCACAAGTTCTCCAGAGTCCTTTCTGGACTTCATCGCCCAACACACACTTATGAGTCAAGCCAGTAGTTACATGGGCAGGTGGCATAGGGTTTTAATCCCTGCAAGGGGATTTGAGAGTTCAGGGCCAGCCTGGGCTATAGAGAGAGTTTGAGGCAAACCTTTGGAACTTGTCTCAAAACAAAAGCCAATAGTAGTCTAGAGCTGGGAATCAGAATTCATTTTTTGTAAAGGGTCATATATTAAGTACTTTGTCTTTGCAGAACATGCGGCCTATAGTAACTACTCAATATTAGTGCAAAAGCCGCCATAGACAATATATAAAGAGTGACTATATTCTTATAAAACTTGATTACAGAGACCACTGAGATGAGGTTACCCCTAAGCCTTAGGACCTGAGTTCAATTCCTGGAGTCCACATGATGGAAAGAGAGAACCAGCTCCAACAGGCTGTCTTCTGATCTCCCCTTGTACATTATGGCACATGTACATGCATATACATACTAAAAATAAAATTATTATAGAAACTGCTATTCAGTTGGCCCTGGAGCCATAGTGGTTTGTTTTGGTTGGTTGCTTGCTTGGTTTTTGGTTTTTCAAGGCAGGGTTTCTTGGTATAGCCTTGCCTGTCCTTGAATTATCTCTGTAGACCAGGCTGGGAACTCATGGAGATCCACCTGCCTCTGCCCCTCTGCCCCTCTGCCCCTCTGCCCCTCTGCCCCTCTGCCCCTCTGCCCCTCTGCCCCTCTGCCTCGAGTACTGGGAGTAAAGGCATCTGCTGCCCAGCTACTACTATTCTAACATAAGGAAATTGAAATGAAACTAGTAAAGCCCTACGCCTCCGCCTCTCTCAGCTGCTGTGGTTCAAGATCCTGAGCTTCATCACACCTTAACTGTCCTGATTGTCATTTCCTTTTCCTGTGCCAGGGTGGAGCCACTCCAGGTACTAGATAAGCTACTGGGAAAGTGCTTCTGTGTCATGAAGTGTAAGATAGCAAAGGAGCCAGGTGATCCAGAATGTGCTTTCAACATTTGGAACAATATGCGTGCAGTGATCACAAGCAATTGTAACAATAAAAGAAAACTAATTTAGAAGAGAAGTTTCCTATATGTTGCATACTGCAATTAAAATATTCTAGCAACAGATCTATGTATCATCAGCCTTCCCTGCTTCCATCTATGTGCATGGTCAAACATCATTAATCACTGTACAATCTGGAAGAGGAAGAACAAGTTATCTTTTGTGGTGGCTGTTGTAACAGGATATGACTTCTGTGGGTTCCGTGTGATTAGCATGGACTCAGAGGTTTGCAAATTTCCTTGTTTTTATAGAAGTCTGTGTTCCTGGGTGCTTTCTTCCCTAAACAGTAAAACTTGAGATAAGCTTTAGAACAAAAGAGAACAGAAAGCTTCATGAATCATTTTCCAACTCTGGCATCCTAAACAATCTCACAGAGAGACCATTGACAAAATAGTGAGCAGAGTCCCTGTCACTTCAAGTTTCCTCTTGCTGAGTGACTTTAAACCAGGGTCATTGAGCTACTTCACCCCTTTGTATCTCAGCATGAAGGTCAAGGACGCCATCCTTATGATCAGTGTCATTATCGCACTAGTACTCATTACTGTATCATAGAGTTGGCATGCTCTTCTGTACAAGGCAGACACACACACGTTTATTTGTTGGTTGTGGAGATCGAGCCCATCACCTCGAACAAGCTGGGTAAACACTCTTCCTACTGAGCTATACCCCAGACCAGAGAGTGCACTCTCCTACTAAGCTATACCCAAGACCAGAGAGTCAGTATGTTGAAGTGTGGAAGCCACATAGTCTCTGTCATAGCTACTTAACTTCTCTGGGACAGAAGCTACCAGAAACACTTACATGGACAGTACTCTGCTCCAGTAATACTTATGGTTATTGGTTTAATGGCACACTGGCCTGTTTGACGCCTCCTGGAATCCACAGTTATCACCGCCTTCCAAATACTTTCCATAATTCTTTTTCTTTCACCTCAATTCCGTCTTTCAGGTTATTTTGTTATTTTAGAGTTCTCATCACAAGGATTGGTTATTTGTCTGTTTGACTTTTGAAATCAGCTGGTAAGCATGGGCATCAAAAGTATTTTCACAACCTCTTCACCAGCCCAGGGATGGCACCACCCACAAAGAGCTGGGCCCTCTCCTGTCAGTCACTAATTAAGAAAATGCTCTACAGACTGGCCCACAGCCCGATCTTATGGAGGCGTTTTCTCAGTCGAGGTTTCTTCCTCTCAGATGACAGACTATGGTTTGTGTCTATGGTTGACATAAATCTAGCCAGCACAGACTCCTATTTGTTTGTTTGTCTGTCTGTTAAAAGACACTTTTAGGAAATCTAAGCGGACCTTGACCTGCCCCTATTTCCCAAGTGCAGGAATTACAAGCTTGTGACACTATCTCCACGTCCGAATATTGAGTCATATACATATAATGCAAAACACCTTTAAAGAACAAAAGATTGGGGGGGGGGGCTGGAGAGACGGTGCTGTGGTTAAAAGCACTGGCTGCTCTTCCAGAGGTCCTGAGTTCAAATCCCAGCAACCACATGGTGGCTCACAACCATCCATAATGAGATTTGATGCCCTCTTCTGGTGTGTCTGAAGATAGCTACAGTGTACTCATAAATAAAATAAATAAATCTTAAAAAAAAAAAGTTGTCCTTTAAAAGAGTAAGCTAGACCTATGTAGTATCATAAAAAGATTACTACAGCATAGAATAAAAAAGCAAGTCATTAACCAGGACAGAGAATAACCCCAT